GCGTGAACAGTTCAGCAGATTTCTGTTATACAGCGAACAGAGGGAATCTAAACAACGGAAGTATTTTCCGGTCGACTAACTGCAGGCTGCTAGTTACCTACCTAATCTAAATCAGGGGCGGTCGGGTAGCCTAGTGGTTTGCTCGTCACGCCGAAGACCCGGGTTCGATTCCCGACATGGGTACAATGTGCGAAGCCCATTTCTGGTGTCCCCCGCCGTGATATTGCTGGAATATTGCTAAAAGCGGCGTAAAACCATACTCACTCACTCCTAATCTAAATCGCTAAATGATATTATTAAATCCTATTTTCGGCAAGAGACGGAAACAATGCCTGTTAATTACTAATAATTAGCTCTGAACTACCCTAAGCGTGGATCATCTGGTTGTTGGATGTTGTCTAAAGTTATTTTGTAGTGAGGTGCTTACAATGTGTATTTTTAATATTTCCCCAAAAGAATCAATTCATCATTTTCCGATAAATATGTCCCACTCCCTTCAAATGAAAATGAGCAAAATTACATTGAAATTTATTTCAACCATATTCGTTTGGTTTTCTATCACCATTTCTTGTCGGAACTGTTTAGAATAATATTGAACTATTTTGAACTATATAATGTTATGTTATGTGTAGTCCCAAATAAAATTTCATATGATATTAATCACAGGATTGTCTGGTCCAGACTCGAATATTTACAGACCGCCGTCATATCGCTGGAATATTGCTGAGTGTGGCGTCAAGCAACAAACCAACCAACGAACCAACTTGATTCACTGAAACTTTTTGACAAAAAGAGAAAATTAAAAATGGTGACTGAAAACTGAAAGAGTGCAATGCTCGCTCTGTAGCATGAAGGTGGGAATCGTAGCTTCTTACAAAGCCTGTTTAATACATCTATTCTCGTTATGACCCATGTTTGTACTACCAGCTGCCTAAGGTGCGAAAACATGGAGGTTGTTATAATGTGGAACATTGTTGTTTTCGCTGCAAGGGTGAGAACTGTGACACGAGCATCCCATGAGATAAAAACAGGAATGTTGGATCATTGAGGAATTGGGTTTTTGTATCAAGATTACATATTTTTTTCATTTTCAGCTACCAGATATATTTTTTTTATTTAAAGCTATGAGCCTGAAGATAAACACCTTGCAAGAATACCCTTTTTGTGGCTGGCATTTTTTTTCCCCCACTCTAAAGCATAATTAACGTTTTCACGAATTTCGGCGACAATTTACTTTTTGGGATAAAATAACACTCCAGACCCTTCCCATAATATCAAATGTTTAGTCCCCTTGTAAGAGAGTGGGATTTCCCCCCTAGCCTAAATTCCCCCCGGAAAAGGGGCTATATAGCCTAATTTTCCCCCGGAAGTGTATGGCGCAAAAAACACACAAGATTTTAATCATGGTTTCTATTGTAAACTACTCAATCAGCCTACTGTACATCTAGGTACTTTTGATAATAGACATATATTTAATTATGGGGGAAATCTGACTCCAAAGTGCTCTCCGTGGCAAGTATGCCTATATAGCCCCTTTTCCGGGGGGGGGGGGGGGGGGGGGGAATTAGGCTAGGGGTGAAATTCCACGCTCTGACACCGTAACAGCTGGTGTTTTACGTTTTGAACTTTGTCAGATAAATCACAACCAAACTGTTAACTGGGCTATTCGATACCCTGGTTTGAAAACATTGGTAAAGCGTACTTCAAACCATATACGTGGCTAAAACATAATTCAAAACATTTAGGGAACATGCCGCGAAATGTCTTTTGGATGTTTGTACAATATGTCGCGGGGTATAGCCATGAAATAAGGTTGTCACAACGTATTTCATCCTTCCAATACAACGTTACTTCACGTCCTTGCGACAACGTCCATGACAGTCCACAGAAAAAAAACGTTGTAGGGACGTAATATTAAAACATTGCCACAAAGTAAAATACGACATTACCTCAACGTAAAATACAACGTTCCCACACCGTCAAAAGGAAACGATATCACAATGTTGTGACGACGTGAAAATGACTTTTCGCAAACGTTAGCTTACAACGTTGTGACATCATAAATTGGAGTCCACAGAGACCCGTAAAGACCCGGGTAGAGAAGAGGTCTACCCAACCCATCCTTGCCGAAAAGGTGACCATGCTCGTCGTAAGAGGCGCCTAACGGGATCGGGTGGTCAGGCTCGCTGACTTTGTTAATGCATGTCATCGATCCCAATTGCGGGATGATGTTACGTTAAATCCTTCCAACGAAAGTGTGTGGGTGAAAGTTGCACATATTTCAATGTTGCTATCGCAGATGCAGTAGAGGATACACGCACATCAGTACAGCGTGATCAATACATCCTGGAATACAGGTTTCCTATTTCTATTGAACTTAATAAATATTAATCCGACATTGCTGAAATTGTTATTGATGTTGCCACTGTGTACACAGCCTTATAACACTGAGGCAACGGGTTGCCCGTCGTCTAACGCGCCGCAATTCGCTGTGCATGGATGTGTCCCTTCGGCACGCAAAACCTATGATGATTGGTTCCAATCCCAGTTGGTCCCGACATTTTTTCTTGGTTTGTCGACACCATACCCGTGCCACCTTCATCACAACACTAACCAGCACAAGAAATGTCATCAGCACCATCTTGTCATACATTGAGAACTCAAGTACTCTATGTGTCAATGCCACCTTAATCGCCATGGGGTTCGCGATCTTGAAAATGATGTACATGGTGTAAAGGATCGCCGTCAATACTGCTGCTGCCAGTACCAACATCACAGTTGTCACTAAAAGAAACTTAGTTGCCCAGGGAGCACACTTTCTACTATCACTTCAAATATGATCGGCCCATTCCACAACGACCACTGCAATAACCAACATTAAAGATGCCACAACCGTTTCAACCTAAAATCTGACTACCACAAACATTTCCACCGATACCACAACTGACATCGCCACGAATTGACACAGACACCAATTGACACCGCAACCATCCCATTTGCCACCGTACTAATGCCACTGTCACCACCACAGCTTCAGTTTACACGCCTGTTATGTACATTTGTTTGCCAAGGACGCATACCATGTGATGTCCAGAACATCGGCTACGCATATTGTTCGCAGGCACGTGAATATCAGGGGTAGAATAGCCTTCAGCAAACCATTCAAAAATACGTTGTTATCATAACATTGTGACGACGTGAAAATGACGTTTCGCAAACGTTAGCTCACAGCGTTGTGACAGCATAAATTGGATTCCTGAGAGACCCGTGAAGATCCGGGGTAGAATAGGTCTTCAGCAAACCATTCAAAAATACGTTGTTATCATAACACTGTGACGACGTGAAAATGTCGTTTCGAGAACATTAGCTCGCAGCGTCGTGACAACATAAATGGGAGTCCACAGAGATCCTTGAAGATCCGGGGTAGAATAGGTCTTTAGCAACACATGCGTGCCGTAAAAGGTGACTATGGTCCAGACCGCCGTCATATAGCTGGAATATTGCTTAGTGTGGCATTAAACAACAGCCAATAACAATAAATAAATAATATATTGTCAGCAAGGTGCGGTATGTTATTCCCTATGTGCAAATCAAAACGGGTATTCCTTTTTCTGAAGTGACAACTTTTTGTCAATCAAATATATTTCGTTATTCAGGCCACATGGCCCATAGTACAGTTGTAAGTTAAATTATATCCAGAATGTCGATCTCATTTTAAACAATTTACATAAATATAAAGTTATCAAGCGTGGTAGGAGTTAATTACCTTTGTTAAAGAAATTCTACCTTATCTATGACTTGAGGCAAGTGAATATATTTCCTACACACAAAAAGGACTCTTTATTTCTCTTCTGTTACAGGAAGGTCACATATAATCACAATATCATATACATTCTACATGAGGTATGTTTAACAATGGCCTTTTACAAATAATGTTGCCTCGGGATGTTCCAAATGTACACATAGCTCTATCTATTCCTTAGTCTCTGAGTACTGTTACATATTTAATTTAGTTTGCAAAAGAAATGTTATATTAGCATAATGCACACACACAAAAATCCAAACTATGGGGACGGTGGGGTAGACGTCAATGTACAAGGGACGGTGGGGTAGACGTCAATGTACAAGGGACGGTGGGGTAGACGTCAATGTACAAGGGACGGTGGGGTAGACGTCAATGTCATAGGGACGGTGGGGTAGACGTCAATGTACAAGGGACGGTGGGGTAGACGTCAATGTACAAGGGACGGTGGGGTAGACGTCAATGTATAAAGGACGGTGGGGTAGACGTCAATGTATAAAGGACGGTGGGGTAGACGTCAATGTACAAGAGACGGTGGGGTAGACGTCAATGTACAAGGGACGGTGGGGTAGACGTCAATGTATAAAGGACGGTGGGGTAGACGTCAATGTATAAAGGACGGTGGGGTAGACGTCAATGTACAAGGGACGGTGGGGTAGACGTCAATGTACAAGGGACGGTGGGGTAGACGTCAATGTATAAAGGACGGTGGGGTAGACGTCAATATACAAGGGACGGTTGGGAAGACGTCAATGTACAAAGGACGGTGGGGTAGACGTCGATGTACAAGGGACGATGGGGTAGACGTCAATGTATAAAGGACGGTGGGGTTGACGTCAATGTACAAGGGACGGTGGGGTAGACGTCAATGTATAAAGGACGGTGGGGTAGACGTCAATGTACAAGGGACGGTGGGGTAGACGTCAATGTACAAGGGACGGTGGGGTAGACGTCAATGTACAAGGGACGGTGGGGTAGACGTCAATGTACACGGGACGGTGGGGTAGATGTCAATGTACAAGTGACGGTGGGGTGGCTGTTACTCCGAGGGCTCTGGCTCGATTCCTCACATGGGTACAGTGTACAAAGCCCACTTCTAGTGTCCCTTGCCTTGATATTGCCGGAGAATTACTAAAAGTCGCGTGAAACCACACTCACTCACTCATGCGAAACATTTAGCAAATGTCAAAATTTTGGGTAAGAAGAAGCGTTTATTTTCTATCTACATGAACATGTTTTTTCATACATTGTTCATACTAACAATGTGCGAATACACACTACTTTGTTATGTTTCTGCCTTCGAATATAAAACTTTAATGGCTGAAAATTACTACTCTCGATTATCTCGAGTTAAAATATGTTAAATGTCAGCTATTTCTACCAGCAAATATTAATGCGATTGAATTCGAAAACGGACTTTCTCATTTCTGCAATAACATACAATTGATACCACATCCACATGGTATTTTCAATCTGTTTCGTTGAGCACACATGATCAATTCTAAACACTGTATCTGTAGATCAACGATGTCCGGTGGTCTGTTTCAGGCAACGTATCGCAAAACGCCGCAATGTTTGTTTGTTTGTTGTTTACCGCCCCACTCAGCAATATTCCAGCTATATGACGGCGATCTGTAAATAATCGAGTCTGGACCAGACAATACAGCGATTGTCAACATGATCATGAACATCGTTCCACGCAATTGGGATACGATGACATGCATCAACCATGTCAGCGAGCCTGACCACCCGATCCCGTTAGTCGCCACAAACATAGCCGCCTTTTACGGCAAGCATGGGTTGCTGAAGACCTATTCTATACGGGATCTTCACGGGCCCACTTCAATGTATTACCATATGCTGGCGTACTAAAGTATTTATGTGATGATGCAATACTTAAGAAAGCGTCTGCATGAAGAACCTAATTTGCGACAAGAGTGATATATCAAATATAATAACGTATATTTGACGGCCTCGGGAACTACAACAAATCACTTGCTTCCACAGATGCCATGAAACTTGCTCTTGTTCTTTCGTCATCTGCATCTACAAGAAAACATATATTTGAATAAATTGACGATGGAGTTATAAGAATGTCACAGCTCACACAGTCTTATTAAAATGAGGTGAGGTGAAATGCTGTTTAACGTCGCGTCCAAGATTAATGCACTCATATAGCGACGTGCATGCACGTGTATGTGTGTGTGTGGCTGCTTGTACTATTCCGGACTGATGCCGATTTATAGTGCTAGCTCACTTAGATACCATGCCGCAGTTTAACTTGAATACCCCACTCAGACACAGTATACTGACTCCGAGCCGACCAGTCCTTGTTTTAGCCCCTTAATGCCGAGCGCCAGACAGGGAAACAACAAGTACAGTCTTTTAACGTCTTTTGGTATGACGCGGCTGGGGATCGAACCCCGGACCTTCCGCTCTCTGGGCGGACGCTCTACCACTAGACCACGGAGGCGGTCTGTATTAGTAGGAGTGTGTCGGGTATATTGTATTCAGACATATGTAAACTGTTGTAGTACGTGGTGTACCTTGGAATATGTATCGTTACTAATGTACTAGTGATTTTAATAGTATTTCATGTTCGTCAAAATTTCTTCGCATATATGTACTTCTATAACTGATCGTAAACAGGCCCGTGAAGATCCGGGGTAAAATAGGTCTTCAGCAACCCATGCTTGCCCTAAAAGACGAATATAATTGTCGTAATAGGCGACTAACGGGATCGGGTGGTCAGGCTCGCTGACTTGGTTGATGCATGTCATCGATTCCAATTGAGGGGATCGATGCTCATGATATCAGTCACTTGAGTGTCTGGTGCAGACTGGATTATTAACAGACCGCCGTCATATAGCTGGGATATCGCTGAGTCCGGCGTTAAAGAACAAACAATAAAACAAACGTTCGTAAACATGGTCTTTTAATTGATTGTTTGCATTATATTGTTGACTGATTACATATAACATTCTGTGGCTGTCTAATAAACTGACTGTTTATTCACCCAGGTCTTGTGTTGGCGTGTGGGTTGGTCGTGTACAGTGGTCCCTCTGCTAAGCGAGCTGATCCCCAACTCTCGCTTTTAAATATAATGGTCCTTGGTACATGGATATTACTGAGAGCGTACATACGTCTTTGTTGAGAGCAATACTGAATGTATCTATATATCACGGCAGTTTGTATGTAACGGTTCTTGGTTTGAGACCCCCTTCGTTGTTCAGAGCTGATAGAGAGCCGACGGTTGGTCATGTCAAAAGACGTTAAAAGATTATATTCGTTGATATCCTGTCTGGCGTTCGCGACTGAGAGACTAAAACAAGGACTGGTCCGCTCTGAGTCAGTACACTGTGTCTGAGTTGGGTACTCATGTTAAACTGTGGCATGGGACCTCAGTGGACTAGCACTATAAAATCGGCATTAGACTAGTACCAGCAGACACACACACACACATACACACACACACACACGCACGCACGCACGCACGCACGCACGCACGCACGCACGCACGCACGCACGCACACACACACACACACACACACGCACGCGCGCGCATGCAGGTCGCTATAACAGTGCAAACAATTTGAACGCGACGTTTAACCCCATTTCACCCTACCTCTCTAGTGTTAACGATTAAGAGTATATAAAGAAGGTCTTATCGGCTCGGGGTCAAACTTTGAATAACAAAACGTCCATCATTTTATTTAAAAAATCATTTTTAAAACCTCATCTTCCGATGAAGATGTTAATGAGTAATTGTCCTTTAAACAACATCCCAGCAATATCCCCACAAGAGAAGAAAAACTCTCCCACATTGCGGAGATCGCTTTTTGGAGTGAGTCTACACTTAAACCACCTCAAGTAAATGAGCGAGTGTCGTGGTGTCACGCCGCTTCAAGCAATCTTTCGGTTACACCACGGCACGTCAGCTTGAAGTGAGACGACAGCCAGAGGCGACGCAGGTCTCAGACCTTCATCGCTTACCCATCAGGGTAGAGTGCTGACAAACCTAGAACATACACATAATGATCCGGGACCCTAACCCACTAGCATAAGTGTCTGGCACACCTAAGGGACGCAAGTATCGAATTGAGATACATAAGATGACTGGCACACCAGTGCCCGATAATCAGACAGATCAGCAAACAAAATATATAATTTGAAAATTAGGTCAGTTGTTGTCTCATAGAGCTTGTGATTCCCCCAAGTCGACCTGTTGATGTACTTACAGTTTCCGTCATGCAGCCTCTGCAGGTAGAAGGACATCCTCTGTGCATCCATGCCAATATCAGGCGGTAAGCGCGGCAGCACCTGAGAGGTGTCTTTGTCTTGCAGGTCTCGGCAGCCAAGAGTGACGATAGGCCCGGGTTCTTTTGTTACTTCCCCTAACCCGGAAACGTTAAGTCTGTAAATATAGTTTGAGTGTTAGGTAATAGAATATGAGTGTTAGGTAATATAATGTGAGTGTTAGGTAATGTAATGTGTGTTAGGTAATATGATGTGAGTGTTAAGTAATATAATGCGAGTGTTAGATAATATAATGTGAGTGTTAGGTAATATAACGCGAGTGTTAGATAATATAATGTGAGTGTTAGGTACTATAATGTGAGCGTCAGGTGATATAACGCGAGTGCTAGGTAATATAATGTGAGTGTCAGGTAATATAACGCGAGTGTTTATCTTTAGGAGGAATGGTCTAAGAATTTACCATATATTGCCCAAAATCACAACACTATTAAACATGCCCCCTTTCCCCAAATAAATTTAACACTGTTCTATGCAGGCCCCCTACCCTATACCAAAAAAATAGAACTGCGTCCTTTTTTCATTGTCATTGTGTCATATTTTCATACTTTACCCCCCCCCCCCCCCCCCCCAAACACACACACACACTGCATCCCCCAATCCCCCACCCCACCTCCCCCACCACCCCTCTTCACCAACAAAGGTAGCCAGTCCCTTATATTCTTATATTGTCAATTATCGCCATAATAAGGGAGGAACCAAAGGGACCAAGGAACAATGACACAGGTTACAGGAACCAACATCTAAAGCTTACCCGCCACTCCTGGATTCTGAAATATAAGATTCAAATGCATATAATATCATAGATACTTCGATCAATCAAACGTGATGCAGTTAGCATATCACATGTGTTTGGGCTCTCGGTTATCGGAAAATACATCTTTAACTCTTTCAACACCAGTCAACCAGAAGTGTTTACTGCTGGGACACCGAGTTCCCAGAGACTCTTGTGTGATAGATGAAGCCAACATTTATCAAAGAAAATACCTGCTTGTAAAATAGATTTGTTACTACATGTTATACACCATTTGAAAGGTCTGATCCTATGGTTTATAAATATGAAAGTTATGTTTTTCACATTATTTAAAAAAATGCATTTACAACTTAATTAAATTCGTTGTAATTAAAAAAATGTACGCTAACACGTTGTTAACCTCCAGATTAAGGACCAAGGAAGCGAAAACTTGACGAGTTTCGGCAAATATATGATTTCATAATATCCACGTACCTATTTCTGTTTTATTTTCATTGTTTACGTAATTGGAAAATCATTTTTAAAAGAATTATAAATAGTTTCTGTCATCGCCCATTACCCGATAACAGCGACTCTCCGCTCAGTAAAATGAAGAAATACCCCTGTTTTCGAGGTTTCGTATGAATAACACGTGCGTCGAAGAATGGCATATGACACATCGCTGGAAAGCTTATTCCTTCATCTACACGCTCGTAACATCGACTGGTTTTTTTTCGTAGTTATAACAAGCGATTTCATTGGATTAAAATTGGTTTCTAATGACGCTTTCTTGCTGAAATCTGCTACAAGTTCCGTGATTGGTCAATTTTGAGCACGTGACCTAAGGCAGCCAATCAAATTACAGCTGTGATACCAAGCTCGTGTTCGATAAATTACAGAAGTTTGCGAAAGAATTTTGTTAAATCGTGTTATTCTGAACGTTTTGAGCAGGAAATCACGATATATATTAAAAATATTGAACTTCGTGAATGTATCGTGCTAGGTTACGAGCTGTGACAAAGATTTTTCATGCATATATTTTTGCATTAAACATCGTGTCAGAGCCGAGAATTCAAGGCGACGAAAGCCGAGATGTCATTTGACTTACATTACACGCGATCGCACGAAAAGATGGAAATAATAATATAGATTTAAGTTTGATTACTTTTAGATATATTTTTGTTGATTTTATTTTTTACTTTGTATAATATATTTAAAGATTTGTTTAAAACGCCTTTATTTTCCTCTTTGACGTGTTCGATGTGGACCCGTTGTCGAAATGTGTGTCCGAGAATTATATTTTCAATAACATCGTGAGAAATAGTGAATAATTTTTTAATTTAACGATAAAAAGTTAAATTAAAATGGAATATGTATTTAAGACCTTGTGAAATGTGATAGATTTAATAAATGAATGACATTACAGGTAGGTCCATAAAAATATATACTATTTTGACGTGACTACGGCTTGGCCGGATAACCGGCCTGCGGTGTCTGGGGACTCGATGCTTCTTTGCCGGATAACCGGCCTACGGTGTTGAAAGAGTTAACACAATTTTCACCGATATATCATCACCTGTATGGTTCTTATTTATGAAAGAAGGTGAGCGAGTGAGTTCAACGTTGACATTATGCAAGTCATATAGCGAAAGGTCATATAAAACAAGCACAGCAGTTTGCAGATAAGGATGTACACACATATCTAACACAACTAAGCAGATGTTTAGACACTGCGGTTATTTTCCCATTCATATTTGTACCTGTCAGTTTCCGGAATGCCAGGCAGAAAATGGAGACGATTATTATGCCAACAACCACCACAGACACAGCTGCGACGATCACAACCTTCTCCCCGTCTACAACACAAACAACGGTACATATTAATTTGAGGTTTCTGCACAGTTTCTTTGTTTATTTGTTGGTTTGCACTCAGCAATATTCCAGCTATATGACGGCGGCATGCAAATTGTCAAGTCTGGAATAGACAATCCAGTGATTGATATCTTGAGCATCGATCTAAGCAATTAGGATACGATGACGTGCATCAACCAAGTCAGTGGGACTGACCACCCGATCCCGTAACTCGGCTCCTACAACAAGCAAGGATTGCTGAAGACCAAATCTAACCTGGGTCTTCACGGTTCTGTTGCAGGATATGTTACAGAACCTATATTAACCAACCGTTTCCATCTATTCAAATGTTTATCACAAATGCACCAGAAATGTTCAACTGACTTTAATTCAGCAGATGCAATTAATTTTCCATTCTTTCAGCAACAAAATAATCATAAAACGGTTCACAGTAAAACAATTGAGGTTGAAAAATAACTTTTCATTTGTTTGAAACTGGTACTAACTCTGAACGCTAAACGGCCGAGTATATTTACTGAGCAGTCGGAATAAAACAAGAGTTGATACTTTCCAACCCGCCCTATGTTATTCTGAAAAAAGAAGATTATTGTAACGATCTACAAACAGCAGATCTGTGAGTCACAGCCATAAGATATATGTATTGTGACTCGGTATTTGATGCGGCCATTGGCTATACTCCATAGCACAAATTACGTTACGAACTGATATATAGGTGATCTCAGTCCTGTTTCTTACTTATTTTATATGTTTCACTTCACATGTAGGCGTTGGTGCTCACGGTGTACATTGAAGAATGTATATTGCTTTAGGGGCGGTCGGGTAGCCTAGTGGTTAAAGCGTTCGCTCGTCACGCCGAAGACCCGGGTTCGATTCCCGACATGGGTACAATGTGTGAAGCCCATTTCTGGTGTCCCCCGCCGTGATATTGCTGGAATATTGCTAAAAGCGGCGTCAAACCATACTCACTCACTCACTCACTGCTTTCAGTGTAGTGTATCCTTCTTACACATTGTCTGTGTCTCGTAGATACCAGAACATACAAAAACTGACAGAACCATACTCGCCTGGAACAAACAGTTCAACGCTGACGTCCAGAGAGCCTTGGCCATTGTCGAAAGATATAGTGTAAATTCCTTCATCACGCTGTTCAACGTTGTTGATGGTAAATGTAACCATGAACTGGTTCTCTTCGATGTTTGATGTTGAGAGTTTGTACTTCTGGCTGCCTGAGATGTTAATGCCAGTCTGTCCGTCTGGACAGGACAGCCTTGTATTGCTGGGTTCAGGGTACCCCCAGAGATAGAACGTTCCAACAGCATGACTTGTGTACATCTTCAAGGTGATGTTTTCGTCATTCTGTCGATACAGTCTCGCTGAAATAACAGAGCACATACAGTGTTGAGCAGATGGCCCGACGTTGCATAGTACAGACATATAGATACCATTTACTTTTGTTAAATGTAGTTAAAACGAAGAATGATGTTTCTCTTTACACAGTTCATCCTTATCGTTACCAATCACACTTCTACCTTCAGCTTTAGGAAGTTAACTTGAATAGATCAGAAGGGTGTCAGAATGTCTGTCAAAATTGTGAATCTTGCAAGGCCACATCACGCATATAAACCGGATACCCTCATTGCACAAGATAAGGGTGTAACGTACTCACATTTCAAGAAACTAGAAGTAGATCCATCATCATGCCCGACTACATTAGACGCTGAGCAGAGATATTCTCCCAGGCTGGGCTTCCCGACGTTAAAGGCCACCATCCTAGAAGTGTAAGTCGTGGTGCGGCCCAGTACTGTATCCCCATCCTTGGACCTTCTGATGAGGGACACAGACAAAGGCGGCGTGCCGTCCACCTCACACGTAAAGGTGACGACGTCATTAGGCTTCGAGTCAATACTCGACTTGGCATCATGGGTCAGTCTCTTAATGGTTGGTTTGTCTGTAGCATACGAGAGCAGATTCTCAGTTGACTAACTGAAACCTTTCACTGACACTATTTTCAGATTATGATAACACATCTGCTATACAATAGATGCAACAAAAGGCGGTGGAATGGTCTAGTGCTTATAGCCTTCGATCGACGCGCCAAAGACCAAGGTTCTTTTCCTCACATTGGTAATGCGTAAGAAGTCAACTGTTTGTGTATCCCGTTATGATATTGCTGGAATATTACTAACAACGGCGTAAGACTATTCACTCATATATTTTCCGTCTATGTTTTGTAAACAGTATTTTGAAACTTGTGAATTTGAGAAGGTGGTAACAGTATTGATTATATGATTGTGATGTACATCGCATGCAAAAACAGTTGTGCGAATGAGGGTAAAAAATCTTGACTATTTGAGACATAAGTTTGTGATATGAGTGCAAACAAGAAGCACAGCAACACAGAAGCAGCAGGGTCTAATTGAATACATTTAAGGATATCTATCAGCTAGCACTGTTTTGCGTTCACTGCGCAACTCGAATCGTCGTGTTTCAGGACAAAAATGTGTTAAGTTAATCAAGCAATGCTGCAGAGACCCACAGACGAAAACGTTAAATTAAAAATAACGCGTGAAATAAGGAACAAGAACTGGATTTACTCTTTGATTGGCAGTTAGAAGTGATGCATATAAGAGAGAGAATTTATACATGTCAAGTTTTTTTTGTCTTTTTTTATTTTTTCTCTCTTAAGAACTGAATTCATTACCCGTTTTACGATGTCCGAAATTGCTTACGACCAAGGTGAATGGGAGAAAGGGCACAATGTTTTTTTAACTATGGCGTCATTGAAATGGTTACCTGACAGCGTGACGACATGACAATGTATGACTTTATCACGGGAATGTTGCAGCACATAAGGAACATTGAAATACGCCAATGCAGACGTTTTTGATCAATGACCTTAAATTAGAGCACTGGTTTATAACAATAATGATATTTACCCCAGTAAGAATGATGCTTATACGAACGTTTTATCCACGTGATTAAAATATTAATGATAGGTAAGTACTGTCAGTATTTTGTTATGCAAAACTATTAACACAGACACCGTTTTGCCCATATGTCTTTACAGTAAAGTGTCAATTTGGTGAGGGTAGTTTGAAGCCCCATTGTCAATTGGAAACGAGGCAGTGGGTTAGCCTAGTGGTTAAAGGGTTCTCTCGTCACAACGAATGCCCGGATTCGGTTCACCACATTGTTACAATCTGTAGACCTTATGTCTGATATTTCCCGCCGTAATGGTACTGAAATATTGGTAAAATCAGTGTAAAACAATATTTTGGCCGACTCGATTAAATGGAAATGTTGGATTAAACCAAATATATTTTGACACAATCTATGTCCATCGTCCCGAGGCAAGAGAGTTAACTGACTGTAAAAGTCCAGTTTCCACCCTTGCCAAACTATGCTGTTATTATGGAGTTACATTTTGGCTGGACTAACGAATCTATGCATAGTCCAATCAAAATCGCGCAACGAAATCGAAATCCGGTTCGTAAACTGTCGTGCAGATTTCGGTCGATTGCAGGATTTGCAAAACATGTGCACCACAAACTCGTTGTCAACAGATATTTGCCAAACCTTTTCATGTTTTTAATCAAGGTGCTCGCGTGATTTGATGCACTTCGCGTGTAAGACCCTTTTTATCACAATATATATCTTGATTATCGATCAGATCGTCTTGACTGGACGCAAGTGATGGAATCGGATTGGTTCATAGGAGAGGCTTAGAAGGGACATAACTCGTAATATCCACTGGTGGCGCTACGATCGAGCCAAGGAATTCCAGCCTAGTTCGGCAAAGGTGGCAACAGGACTTTTAAAGTCAGTTAACTCTCTTGCCTCAGGAAGATGTGTATATCAGAAAAGGCTAAATACCCAGAATACAGAGCAGCGGACACCCATAACTGGTACTCACGCAGAACGTAAGCCTCGCTCCAGTCTGAATACAGGCCTTGTTCTACAGCCTGGCATGTGTACTGGTCCCCCTGGGTCGCAGTGCTTAGCGTGAGGGTGGCCCCTGTGTTCATCTCTCCCCTCTCAGGATGACTGCTAATGTTGACAGCAGCCCCTATGGGCATCCTCCCATTCTCCAGGTGACTGCTGCCTACCCTCCATCTGTAGGAGAGCACGTCACGGAAAGCATCAGGAGACATCAGCGATGAAGATACACAAGTCAGGATGACTTCCTTGTAAGATCCTGCACTGGTGATTGTCGGAACTGTCGGTTTTCCTGTGAACACGCAATGCCATTCAGAAATTGTTCAAATATAAGAAATGTTCTATTTAGGATAACACTGTATTAGTAAAATACAAATTCTAGTTCTTTTTGTTTTGTTTTGTGAGGGTTTGAGTCCTGAAAGGTGTTCAGGTGTTTTGGAAAGGATACGATATTGTCTGTTCCTGTGTTGAATAATCCGTTGAATTGAAAATGTTATTGATATCACTTGTAGGAACATCTTGAGAAGCATTATGATAACATATTAGCCAGATATCGATAAAAAAAAAGGATGAATAAATATCCGATTCCTTTCCATTCTCTTGAAAAATGTCAATTGGCAGTTTCAGATTTAGCCCGTGAAGATCCGGCGTTAAACAACCAATCAACCAACCAAAACATTGTCAATACTCTTAATGAGAACAAACTCCGCACTCCATGGAGACACAAAACTCTTACTGAGAACAAACTCCGCAATCCACGGAGACACAAAACTCTTACTGAGAACAAACTCCGCAATCCATGGAGACACAAAACTCTTACTGAGAACAAACTCCGCAATCCACGGAGACACAAAACTCTTACTGAGAACAAACTCCGCACTCCACGGAGACACAAAACTCTTACTGAGAACAAACTCTGCACTCCACGGAGACACACAACTCTTACTGAGAACAAACTCCGCACTACCCGGAGACACAAAACTCTTACTGAGCACAAACTCCACACTCCACGGAGACACAAAACTCTTACTGAGAACGAACTCCACACTCCACGGAGACACAAAACTCTTACTGAGCACAAACTCCACACTCCACGGAGACACAAAACTCTTACTGAGAACAAACTCCACACTCCACGGAGACACAAAACTCTTACTGAGAACAAACTCCGCACTCCACGGAGACACCAGGCCTTGCTCTGCTGCCTGACAGGAGTAGTGATCCCCATCCTTTGTTGTGCTGCTGATGTTGAGTGTCGGATTTATGCTGTGAAACACCTCCAGTCCCATGTCACTGCTGTTCCTTCTCCAGCTGTAGGACAACATGTCCGGGTTATTGTGTGGAAGTGTCTGTGAAGCAGAGGCACATGATAGCACCACGCCTTTTCCTTGATCGACATTGGAAATCGTTGGGTCTCTGGGCTTTCCTGAAAATATTGGATTCCATCTATTAATAGAGAATCTCACCCTCGTGTCTTTTTATATCAATTATATCAACACGAGTTTTTTTCACTTTTATCAATGTTGATATATTTGATATCAAACGAGTGAGGGTGAAATTTCATTTATTATCCAACATCATTCTTCCAGTTTTTGCAGTTTTTAGACAGAAATAAGCAGTGTCTTAAGTGTAAAAGGTACTGGCAACAGCTTCAGTAGCAGAGCCATAAGCGATGTCATTTGATTGGGACGTCATGGTAACCGATGATGGCACAATGGTCTGCAAACCATTGTGATGCAATTTCATTGCAGTTATATCTACAATGTAGATACCGCATGATCTTACCCAAGTGATATCTCCTGTGGGAGCCAGTTTTGGAAGATAACTCAAATCATGTTACATTATCAAGACCATTGTGTACACCATACCTCCATATAATAAGTCTATTGAAGTCAAGTCCTATGAATAAAAAAGTCAATATATATATATATCTGCAAATGAAAGCCACGACACCCTATCCATAGCCACAAGAAATCCCTGCTAAAAGCAGAGTCGTATCTAAGATTCCGACAATATCAAGAGCATGTGCTTATGGGTCAGTATCAACAAATAGCGATGATACTAGGTGTTTGCGAACAGTTGAGCGTATCCTGTCCCACTGGTGTCACCCGTCACAAACACATGAAAAGACTGCTCTTTTAATCTTTAATAAAAACAAAATTGTGTCACCTCCCAACGCAATAATGACCCTCCCTCTGTATCATAAAGTAAACAGTTATTTCTAATGAGCATGGGCTAATGCTGTCTAGGTTCATGACAACATGGACGATAATGAATTAAGCCTTCTTGACTAGTTAATCAAATATCATGGAGTTTACACCTGAGCGTTCAAGGGCAGCAGGTAGGTTGCTGTGGAGGATCACGCCTTCCCTAGTGACATTATGATGCAAATATGTCGTAATGTATTGCTCTTTAAGTATTTTATTTTTTTATTAATGGTGTTATGCCATACGTTTAGAAACCGCTGTGATAACTAGGTTGGTTAGAGGTAATGAAACATGTGCCAGTCCACATTAGTGATATAAAGCAAAAACTAATCGCACTGAGACTACCCTCAAAATGTGTGTTTTTTTGTCAGGCATTGATAAAATGATATATCAGTAGAAATGACGTTGTCTGAGAAAATGAAGTAATCAGAGAGAGTGACTTTATCGGAGAAAGCTATGTTATCTGAGAAAATGACGTCATCAGCGAAAATGAAGAAATTCGAGAAAATGTAATCCACCCTTGGCGGTGAAACTGACAACCAGTAAGAATGTCCTTGAATGCTACTCACGTGAGACATACAGGAAGTTGTCCCAATCTGTGAGAGTCACATTACCCCCAGCTTCACACGAGTAACGACCAGCATCATAGCCTCTGACAGTATGGACTATTATCTGTACTGCCACGAAGTCATCAGCGGTAAGGACTCCGGCAACCTTCACCCGGGGCCTGTAAGGGGGACGTAGGTAGATGCTAGCAGCGTCCACATCCAGGATAGCTGTACCGCTGGGGGACGTCACGAGGAATGGGGGCCCCGGCTGTGGCAGCGTCCATGTCAACGTGGCCTTGTCGCCTTCACCCAGCATTGCATAGTTGGTGTAGACATCTGGCCACGCTGTAAAGCATACAATAGGTAAGGAAGAAATGAAGGAATTATCCATGCACTGCATGCAAAAAACTGTGAACGATTGCTTTTATCTTACTTACTTACTTACTTTGGAGATTTAACGTGCGCTTTCCGACTGATGCGTATTTCGCACACGGGCCCGGCCAGGCCATTTAATGTGTTTCCGAAAGGGGCGAAGGTGGTCTGTGCAACCCAAGAGGGGGGTTTTAGGTGTTGCTTATATAGAATTTGGGAATTTTGAGATTTGGAATAGATGCCGATGGGATTGGGGAGGAGAACTAAGGGAGCTGGGTATGGTGGATGTTTGTTTGTTTATGTGATTTTGATTTGGTAGGTTATTGTGTTTTTGGATGCGTTTTATTAGTTCCGTTTTTATTTAGAATACGCCTAAGGCCTTGAAGTTTTCTAGTTTATTTTGTGGGTTTAGTATTGCTTCTAGAGTTAGAGCCTTGTTTAGATTGAGGGTGGTTTGTAATGCGGTTCGGTGTGTTAGGTAGTGTGTGCAGTGGATGAGTGCGTGTTCTGGGGTTTCTGGTTGTTTGCAGTGTGGGCAGTTACCTGTAGTGAGTTTTTTAAAAAAATTTAGGTGGTTATTTAGGTTGGTGTGTCCTGTTTGGAGTTTAGTGATTACTCTGTCGATTTTTTTGGATGGATGGAGAATTTTTGGTTTGGTTAGTGGTTTGCTGAGCACTTTTTTGATTTGGCTATTTGAGTTTAGATATAGGTTATGCCATTTTTTATGAGTTTTTTGCTTTTATCTTTGTCGGTGCTAAGTATCTTCCTGGCCTTATTTACCCATTCCTATTTCCATTCTTTTACCTATCAGTGCTAATTACCCCAGGCCTCCCGTTTGCCTATTGTCAATTGCCAATTATCAATCAGGGATAATTTAAGTCCTGGCTTCCAGTTGTCCATAACTATCAGCGCTAATTCGTGTGAAGCGTTGGCGTCCATTGTCTTTCGCTAATCACCTATCAGCGCCGATTATCTTTTGGCTTCTCTTGTTAAGTTTCCACCTTTTGTTATCTTATTACTATTATCACTTGTTCTTACAGGTACATATATATATGTTCTCTGCTTCATAGCATTCCCTTGTACGAAATACGCTGCATTCGGAAAGCGCACGTAAAATCTCCAATATAAGTAAGTTCATAGCATCCATTCACCCTATGAAGGATCCGGAGTAAGCATATACTACGAAACGTTGTGTTCCTCAAAATAAAGAAGTTGACATCCATAAATTTTCTTCCTTATGTGTATATTTTCCAAATGTCTTTCAAAGACATTAAAGTTACGGAACCATTTATTTAAACAAACCCAAAAGAATGTCTGAAGAGACAAATGTATATCCATTCAACATTTATTCGTGACATTTAAGACTAAACCAGAGTCCCCTTACTGTATGACAACACGTGCTGGTGGCTGTATTACATCATGTTGAATAACGGTAAATATGTGCACGTGAAAGGGCTGTACATGCTTACTGAGTTTCCAGTTATTACCAGAAGCGGAATGTAGCGACGCGCAATGTAACGGTAAATGTCATAAATGATACACTCACATACGACGTTTCCTTAACATATAAGGGTATTTTTTCTAACTGACTTTAATAAAATAGAAGAAAGGTCAAAACATCATATTCATCACTTATGCAACAATATGTGAAGACAACATTCTAGTTTATTCATAAGTGATCAACCTCCGTGATCTAGTGGAAAGAGGTGAGGGGAAATGGGGTTTAACGTCGCGTCCAAGATTATTGCACTTATATAGCGACGTGCATGCACGTGTGTGTGTGTGGCTGCTTGTACTATTCCGGACTGATGCAGATTTAAAGTGCTAGCTCACTTAGATACCATGCCGCAGTTTGACGCGAATACCCCACTCAGACACAGTATACTGACTCCGAGCCGACCAGTCCTGGGTTTAGCCCCTTAATGCCGAGCGCCAGACAGGGTAACAACAAGTAATATCTTTTGACGTGTTTTGGTATGACGCGGCCGGGAATCGAACCCCGGACCTTCCGCTTTCCGGGCGGATCTAGTGGAAAGAGCGTCTGTCTGGAGAGTGAACGATCGATTCCCTGACGTCATACCAAAAGACGTTGAAAGATGGTATTTGTTGTTACTCTGGCGTACGTCAGTGTGGGTTTATAAGATGGAGTGGTCAGCTCGGAGCGAGAGCAATGTGTCTGTCAATCCACCTTAAAATCAAGGTCAGTGGCCTAGCACTATCAACTTGGCATTAGTCCGGATTAGTCCAAGCAGCCACACACCCGCATGGTTGTAGCTGTATAAGTGCAATAATCTTGAACGCGAGTTTAACCCACATTTCACTATACCTCATGTATGAACAGTATAACTTACTGTCCATGTCCAGGGCAAACTCCTCACTCGGCACCGTCTGGTGTTCCTGCCCCACACGGGCCTGGCACGTGTATCTGTACCCCTTGCCCCCCTTGGCTACAGAGGCTGTAGTGAGCACACTGATGTCCACCCTCAGCTGGCTGCCAGACACGCCATCCCGCACCGATGTGTGGTGCTCCGTCTCCCTGTCAACCTGTGAACCATTCCTCCTCCAGATGAAGGATGCTTCCCCGGGATACGATGAAGTTGCATTGGTAACGATGATGCAGGACAAGTTGACGCTGCCGTTGTATTGCGACAGTTCATATGTATCTCGGGCCGCAATGTAAGGGTCTTGGATATCTGTAAAATATATGTAATAGGATACATTAAAAAAAAACACACGACTTAACATATGCCATAGATGGGGTTCATAACTTCAGGGGACTTTCGTGGTTGACTCAAACACGCCGGGTTCAAATAATTTACAATTGACGCAAATAAAATGATTGAGAAATGTGTATTATAACCGTCGGGCCAAATGTTGCGCCCTGTCGAACTACAGTTTACTTCACTGATAGATATTGCCTACCTATCACAACGAGTTCCAGCCCACATTTGGTGATAAGATCGCGAGGCCTCCGTCGTGGCGGTCCTCTGAAACACTTGTAACGTCCTGCGTCGGTCCACTTGACCCCTTGCAACACTACAGTGACCATGCCTTCAGTTGAGGATGCGTTCCATGTTCTGCTTTTGTAACCGGCATTGACAACGTTGACCCTGTCAAACTTGGTGATATGAAATACATCTTCCTTTCGCTTTGCATTCCGGACAATATACTGTCTCACCGACCGTGGACGTTTCCAGGATAAAGTCACCGTTCCCCCTAGAGGAGCTGTAATCACAGGCGCTGAAACACGTCGATAAAACATTGATTCCGAATGATGTATATCAATGTTTTGAAAAATAAAAAAAACTTGCTGAAATGACGCTATTCTCCTCCCATTTCAACATCTTCCGTGTTGATAATATTATGTCTCATTCCCAGCCCTCACACTCAAATTACAGCTTCTTAATTAATATGTCAGCTCCCACCTGTCACACCCACACCATCTCCCCGAAAGGGCAAGGGCGGGCCAGAAACCTATGATCGTGGGTTCGAATCCCGGTTGGCCCCGATTATGTATCTAGGTTTGTCTGCACCATACCCGTTCACCGAAGTTTGACTGAAGTAGTAAACGTCTGAGACCTGCATCACTTCGGGCTATCCTCCCACATTAAGCTAACACGCCGTGATATACGGTAAACTACGGTTATAACGAACACGCTTATAACGAACTGACGGATATATCGAACTTACTTTTTTGGCCCCGACTAGTTGCTGTAGTTATGCTGTATATAGGCTTATAACGAACTATGGTTATAACGAACTAAAATTAGTAGTCCCTTTGAGTTCGTTATAACCGTAGTTTACTGTAACTGGAATACTGTTAAAAGCGGCGTTCACTGACTCACCCCCTAATGTTGTTGCAAAAAAGTTCGCAGGTTGATTCATAAGCATATAACGGTTAAAAATTGTAAACTAGTTAAACAAAAATTTGAAACTCATGTTAATAATCTGCCATTAACAAAGCTTCTGTGTTTATTATCAACTTAACCATACACTTTGAACATTACAAATTCAATGATCAGCTCCGTGGTCATTCTGGATAGAGCGTCTGCCCAGAGAGCTGAAGCTCGGTAGTACGATCTCCTGACCGCCACACACCAAAGGACATTAAGTGAACGTACTAAATGCCTTGCTGTTACCCTGTTACCCTAGACTTTGGCGGTATGGGGAACAAGGACTGATCGAATCGGAGGCGGTAAAATGTGTCTGAGTGGAGAATCCAAATTTTTAACGGTGGTATAGTCTTTGACTAGCACTATTCCGGACTAGGACTCACCCACTCACTCACTCACTCACTCACTCACTCACTCACTCACTCTGTCTGTCTGTCTTCCTCACGGTGTCTAAGCTAGATAAATCAGTTCCCCGCGGCAAGCACTCTTTAATGTCAAGGGGCGGTCGGGTAGCCGAGTGGCTAAAGCGTTCGCTCGTCACGCCGAAGACCCGGGTTCGATTCCTGACATGGGTACAATGTGTCAAGCCCATTTCTGGTGTCCCCCGCCGTGATATTGCTGGAATATTGCTAAAAGCAGCGTAAAACCACACTCACTCACTCACTCACTCACTCACTCACTCTCTCACTCACAACATCTATTGCGCTGATACCGGTCTAGTCCACTTCTGCATAAAGAACAATATGCAGCAAATATTTGTTTCCATTTTTATTTTAAACCGTACACACTCACTCTTTAATGTCATCTTCCTCTTCTGGGTTTAACATCCCCAAGCATAATCGAGTAGTTATACCACATATGTACATTAATATAAGTTCCACGGCGGGGATAAAGTAGGAGGAACACGTTAGCTCACCGGAGGAGACGGCGGGGTTAAAGTAGGAGGAACACGTTAGCTCACCGGAGGAGACGGCGGGGATAAAGTAGGAGGAACACGTTAGCTCACCGGAGGGGACGGCGGGGTTAAAGTAGGAGGAACACGTTAGCTCACCGGAGGAGACGGCGGGGATAAAGTAGGAGGAACACGTTAGCTCACCGGAGGGGACGGCGGGGTTAAAGTAGGAGGAACACGTTAGCTCACCGGAGGAGACGGCGGGGATAAAGTAGGAGGAACACGTTAGCTCACCGGAGGAGACGGCGGGGTTAAAGTAGGAGGAACACGTTAGCTCACCGGAGGAGACGGCGGGGTTAAAGTAGGAGGAACACTCGTTTATTCGCGACTGTGTTGTTTATGTTTTTCATTCTGTTACGCTAGATTCATTCTGTAAATTGTCTGTGCATATTAAACTGAAATAGCATGCCATTTTGTGAAGTGAATAAAGTAAATAATATAAAAATACGTGATTTATTTTACAGTTATGTTATGTCGAGCAGTTACACTTAGATAAGGGATTATTTTGGTCTGGTAATTTTCATATGAGTCCAAAACTGTTAGAACACCGGACTTCCGACCTTGAACGCCCCCCCCCCCCCCCCCCCCCCCCCCACACACACACACATCCCCCCACTCCCCCACTCCCCCCCCACACACACACATCCACACACACATCCACACCACCACCACCACCCCACACACACGTCCACACTTACACCCAAACCCACACACACACCCACACCCACACCCACATCCACATCCACACACATCAACACACACACACATACAGATAGATCCACACACACACACATCCACATCCACACCCACACCCACACACAGATCCACACACACACACACACAGACACCCACACCCACACCCACACCCACACCCACACCCACTCCCACTCCCACTCCCACTCCCACTCCCACTCCCACACCCACACCCTTGAGGAGTACGCTGAGGCGCAACATACAGAGACTACATCCTACATGAACATCTGTGGAATCAAGGATCTTTAAGTTTATCTTGACTCCTTCTTTGTTTAGTACTACCACCTGTTGCAGATCGTAAACGTAGATTGATTGTCATGATTGGAATAGAAATTGACGTATTTCGAAAAATATACATCACACTTACCTTTAGCTGGATGACAATCTTGAAATTCAGACCAAAACACAATAGAGAAGAACAATAGTCTACTAAACAGATGTCTCATATTGAGAGGGGAGCTGAACATTACTTTGAGTTAAATCCCAGTCTGATCCAGGTCACCGCATTCTGCACCCGTCTTCTACCAACAAAATATTTCCGCATACGGCCTGTGATGACTGAGTGTTTCGAAACTGGTGCACACACCTTTCACCCGACATTACAGGCGAGACGGTACACAACGTGATAAGGTTTATAGCTTTTAAACGTTCATACAAGGAACACATCACTTGAGCATGGGAATTGAAATAAGAATAGAGAATATATTGACAAATATGTTGAACATGAAAGCATGAATCTCAAACATCGAGCCTGGTTCAAACGTTAGATACACCTGTTGGTGGGATGCATCATCACGTAACTCTTATTGCATCACACACAAATCTTCAGGTGCTACAAACTTCATCACATCACAAATATAACCATCGCGTGTTTCCAACAGCCTAATTGCATCACAAATATAACCATCACGTTTTTCAACAACCTCATTTCATCACAAATATAACCATCGCGTTTTTCAACAACCTCATTTCATCACAAATATAACCATCGCGTTTTTCAACAACCTCATTGTATCACTCAAAAAACATCACTTGTTTCCAACAACCTCATCACATCACAAATATATCCATCACTTGTTTCCAACAACCTCATCACATTCCAAATATAATCATCACGTGTTTCCAACAACCTCGTCACATCACAAATATAACCATCACTTGTTTCCAACAACCTCACCACATCACTGGTATAACCATCACTTGTTTCCAACAACCTCATCCCACGACAAACATAATCATCACGTGTTTCCAACAACTTTATCAGATCACGAATGTTACCATCTCTTGTTTCCGATAACCTCATCACATCACAAATATAATCATCGCGTGTTTCCAACAACCTTATCACATCACAAATATCAACATCACATGTTTCCAACAACCTCATCACATGACAAATATAACCATCGCTTGTTTCCAACAAGCTCATCACATCTCAAATATAAACATCACGTGTTTCCAACAACCTCATCACATCACAAATATAAACATCACGTGTTTCCAAAAACCTCTTCACATCACAAATATAAACATCACTTGTTTCCAACAACCTCATCACATCAAAAAAATGTAACCATTTCGTGTTTCCAACAACCTCTTCACATCACAAATATAAACATCACGTGTTTCCAACAACCTCATCACATCACAAATATAAACATCACGTGTTTCCAACAACCTCTTCACATCACAAATATAAACATCACTTGTTTCCAACAACCTCATCACATAACAAAAATATAACCATTACGTGTTTCCAACAACCTCTTCACATCACAAATATAATCATCACGTGTTTCAAACAACCTAGTTACATTACAAATATAACCATCACTTGTTTCCAAAAACCTCTTCACATCCCATATATAAACATCACGTGTTTCAAACAACCTCATCACAACACAAATATAATCATCACGTGTTTCAAACAACCTCGTTACATGACAAATATAACCATCACTTGTTTCCAACACACCTTTCACCCGACACTACAGGCGAGACTGTACACTGCGTCATAATGTTCATAGCTTTTAAACGTTCATACAAGGAACACATCACTTAAGCATGGGAATTGAAATAAGAATAGAGAATATATTAACAAATATGGTGAACATAGCTTACATCAAAGCATGAATCTCAAACATCGAGCCTGGTTTAAAAGTTAGATGCTTGTTTAGGCAGGATGCACCATCACGTCACCCACAAAAACCTCATCACATCGAGGTATAACTATGTGCTGCGTAATGTGTATATCTTTTAACTTATGACCAAACACTCTAAGCTTTATTCTTATGTAATCCTTAATACTTAAATTAATGTATTTTTTCGTTTCTATGCACCGCTACCATTCTATATTTCCCATGTACGATGTAAGTGTAGGCCAGGCAAACGATACCTATATCTTGTTTTGGGTTCTCTTGTTCTTTTCCAAAAATGATTAACCCATGCTGGAAAACTACTACCGAAACAGATTAAGTAGTATGGCAGTGTCACTTCAGCACGCATTGCTTGCACGGGGTATAGAGTGCCGGGTGTAATCAACAACACCTGATTCTGAACGGTTGTTCAAAACTGTTTAAAAATAATCAACATCACGTGATATCCTGTTGAACTCTACCCTGCCGCTCTGTGCGCGATAGGGGTATGTACATGTAGGTCGAGGCCGTGTGGGGTCGGGGAATGTGGGTCGAGGCCGCGTGGGTCAGGGCATGTGGGTTGACGCTAGGCTGTCAACGTGGGGCAGAACGCAATGATATCGGGGTTGGGCAACGGGTGAGTATGATGATGATAATGATGATGACGATAATGATGATGACGATGATGATGACGATGATGATGATGATGATGATAATGATGATGATGATGATGATGATGATGGTGATGATGATGATGGTAATGATGATGATGATGATGACGACGACTACGACGACGACGACGATGATGATGATAATGATGATGATGATGATGATGACGACGACGACGACGATGATGACGATAATGATGATGACGATGATGATGACGATGATGATGATGATGATAATGATGATGATGATGATGATGATGATGGTGATGATGATGATGGTGATGATGATGATGATGATGATGATGACGACGACTACGACGACGACGACGATGATGATGATAATGATGATGATGATGATGATGACGACGACGACGACGATGATGACGATAATGATGATGACGATGATGATGACGATGATGATGATGATGATAATGATGATGATGATGATGATGATGATGATGATGGTGATGATGATGATGGTGATGATGATGATGATGATGATGATGACGACGACGACTACGACGACGACGACGATGATGATGATAATGATGATGATGATGATGTTGACGACGACGATGACGAGGGAGAGGGGGACTATGATGGTGGGAACAAGCATATCATAGAGGGGTTCACTCCTATTATGACTTTTCCCATTGCGACTACTAAAAAGGAAGGAGGTAAAATGAACTACTCTAGTCGTCATCTGTACTCAGCCCTTGAATACATGAAATCTGTCAAATGAGAGATGTTGTTATTTTCGAGGTATTTTTTGTTTTTATATTCTATATTTCACATTTGGTGTCTTCTGCTGTGATATTGCTGGAATATTGCTAAAAGCGCCGTAAAACCATACTCACTCACTCACTTTATTTCACAACAATAACAGAATGCCTTACCGAGAAACCTGTTAGGGTTATTTACAAAAGCAATAAACATGTTGGTAGAGAAGACAACAAAAGCTTTCTTTGCATTATTAAAGAAAACACTGATATTAAAAAGCCTCTTGATTGTATGCTATCAGAATGTGTCCCGTTTTGAATGTAGTGTTCGGAAATTTGGGGATTTCGTTACTCAACACCACATTTCATGGTCTACGGTGAATTTAGAAAACAAACACTACATAATAAAATTATAAACGAATAATTATTTTGTGACAAAAAACTGCAGCAAATGAAGGAAATCCCAAAAGTGTCAAACATGTTACACGAGTATATTACTCGTATAGGAACCCAACATGTCCTTAACTACTGAAAGACATTTGTAACTTGAAAAAGATTCATGAATTCATGAATAAATGAATATATGAATAGATTTTTTTTTATCCCTTTTCCTATTATGGCTACTCCGTATCCAACTTAGCTTGAAACATATACAGGGGTTGTAGGTAGTAACTAGAAGTCACAGAACCATGAACTATGTGCAGGAACTGATGATAAGACACCAGGGCCCACTTGCACAAAGCGATCTTAGTGCTAAGATGATCTTAACTTCCATACTTTAACATAGGCTTACAATAGTCTTAGCACTAAGATCGTTTTGTGCAATTGGGCCCTGGAGGAGACATAGAGGCATAAGGAGAGTGAATGGGTGAGTACGGGTTTACGCCAATTTCAGCAATATTCCAGCAGCATCACACCAGAAATGGGCTTCACGCATTGTACCCATGTGGGGAATCGAACCCGGGCCTTCGGCGTGACGAGCGAACGCTTTAACCACTAAGCTACCACACCGCCCCACATGTATAAGGCGTGGATTACTGTAACACAGGTAACATTTGGGATGAGGAATGGGTGTCACGTTACGCGCACGTGTACCTGAAGCAGCATCAGTTTGATCACTTCTTACGTTCAACCAAAGACCAGTGCAATTCAACGTATTGTTCCAGAACATATTATCTATTGCATAGTAGTAGTAGCAGCAGCAGCAGCAGTAGAAGTACTTGTAGTAGTAGCAGCAGTAGTAGAAGTAGTAGTAGCAGTAGTAGTAGTAGCAGCAGCAGCAGCAGTAGTAGCAGTAGTAGTAGTAGCAGCAGCAGCAGCAGCAGTAGTAGTAGTTGTAGTAGTAGTATAGTAGTAGCAGTAGTAGTAGTAGCAGCAGTAGCAGTAGTAGTAGTAGTAGCAGCAGCAGCAGTAGTAGTAGTAGCAGCAGCAGCATCAGTAGTAGCAGTAGTAGTAGTAGTAGTAGCAGCAGCAGCAGTAGTAGTAGTTGTAGTAGTAGTATAGTAGTAGCAGTAGTGGTAGTAGTAGCAGCAGCAGTAGTAGTAGTAGTAGCAGCAGCAGCAGTAGTAGTAGTAGTAGCAGCAGCAGCATCAGTAGCAGTAGTAGTAGTAGTAGCAGCAGCAGCAGTAAGGGTAGTAGTAGTATAGTAGTAGCAGTAGTAGTAGTAGTAGCAGCAGCAGTTGCAGTAGTAGTAGCAGCAGCAGCAGTAGAAGCAGTAGTAGCAGTAGTAGTAGTAGCAGTAGTAGTAGTAGTAGAAGCAGCAGCAGCAGCAGTAGTAGCAGTAGTAGTAGTAGTAGCAGCAGCAGCAGCAGTAGTAGTAGAAAAAGATTACCTTGAGCAAAGCTCCCGCCAATGAGAATGATTCCAAGAAAATTCTTTGCTGTATGAGAAAGTCTCACGTTCATGTCAGGCGATCTATCAAGTCGTGTACAGATACAACAATTCTGCCTGGAGAGTGCCAACTGGGCGTGAATCCCAACACCATGAAATTGAGATATTTCCGCGTATACCGTTCACACACACATGACCTT